AATAATTTTGAGAGCTCTTCAGGTAATTAGGATGAGTCACAATCTTTCTGCCCCAAATGTCCTGACTTTACCATCAGATTTCAACCCTCCTTTCACCTGATGCCCAGCAGAGGTGAGAGAAGAGGCTTGGTTTGTTTCCCATCTTCCATCTGAAGGGCTATTAAGCCCATTGTAGAGATTTCCTCTCAGATTGACCAAATAAATAATAAATAAATAAATAAATAAAGTACAGCTCTTCATGCTCTGAGAAGATTTTCCTGAAAAAGGGAAACAATAGCTTCATCTGCTACCATGTTCCGATCTACCTAGTACCTCTGGGTCCTGCTAATTAAGTTCAGGGAAGATTATCAACTGCATCTCTTTCTGGACAGTCGGAATGTCTGGTTTGTTTTGCTGGCACCAAAAGGCCAGCTTCTGATGAGGAACGACCAGGCCAGCATGTGGAGTAACCTCTGTTTGTCATCTTCCCTGGGGCAAAGGATTTCTTTGGAGACATGTCCCTCTGCTAAGGGCTCTGGACAGGTCCTCCTTTCAGCAAGTGCCATGGCCTCACCACTGGCGTCTCTGCAGTGGCCCACCGTCCAGTGGCTCTGTTGGACCATATGCTGGGGTAACTGACACAACGCAGCTGCTTTTCTCCCTGGCTCCTGGCTGGATTCTGCCTTCCAGATCTCTTGACAATGCCATCACTCTCGTTTTTGTGGGCTTTGACAGCACATCAGCTTGCAGACACATTACATGGCAGCTGCTGGAATACTCCCTTTGCCTCCTGATTATTCCGGGCACATCACCAAAGGTGACATGGTCACATTAAGCTGGGGAGAGGACTTAGGCCAAACTGATTTTTCTCCCCCTCAAATATAAGGAAGCCCCTTTTCACATATGCAGTAGATCAGGAAGAGAAATTCAGTACAATGCAAAAATATAGCATCTGGCAGGAATCAGCTGCCTACTGTCCATAAGGGCATGCTCAGAAGTGGTCACACTGGCAGTTACAAGTGATTTTCTCAGCGGTTTCTAGTTTCAGTTTTAAGTAGGCTGCTCTGAAATGAATGCTCTAAACAAGACAACTCTCTCATACTTGTTCTTATTTTTCATTTATTCATAGTCTCCTCTGTTTTGTTTCATACTTATATGATCACTGCTGCTTTTTCTGCAAGCTGATTTTTCTAAAGCCTCCTGACAGTGGAAAGCTTCTATGTCCAATTGTCCTTGGGCAGCAGTCTCAGCCTATCATACCAGCATTCTTTGCCAGTGCAAGAGTAAATCAGCCGTCAGGGACAGGCGTTCACTCATTTAGCACAGAGACAGCACCAGCAAGGTGCCCTCACAGAGCTGTGGGTGTCAGAGAAGGATCGGCCATCAGCAGTGTAACTCAGTACCTGAACACTACATGTCCTCCTCACAGACACTCAGGACAAACCCTGCCCTGTTCATTTTTGAACACTCACTGTCTATTACAGGACAGGGCATACATCAGACATGTTAGGCGAGTTCAGTCGAATAGCATAGTTTGGCCTGTTCCCTGGCCCACAATAAATGTGGCTGTCAAAATAAGGCACTCAGAGTTGAGGCAACTACCTTAAGGAGGCAGAGTGGCTGTGTGTTGTTCTAATATTCCATTCCCAGATTCTTTTAACATATGCATCTATGATAGGTAACATGCACATTTATTTCCTTTGCAATTAATGAAATAAGGAACAAAACGCTTCTTGTACAGAGGATATGTTAAACGGTATAAAGGAACTACTGATACAATGTTTTCATTACATTGATTCAAGAAAAACATTAACAATAGGAGCTAGAATTTATCGAGCACTTACTATATATATGAAACCACACATAAATAAGACATCATCCTGGCTCTGAAGAACCCTAAGAGTAAAATGGGAAATCTGCAAGTTCTTTTTTTTTTGGTGTGTGTTGCGGGGAGCCATGTTTTGTGAAGCATTACTAAAGATAACACATTTCTGCAAAGAGCCTCAATATTTATTTGTATCAGCACTATTGTCCTTAATGCTCTGTTCTTAGACATTCTGCACCTGAGATGAGCAAGGTTTCCCCCTGCAGGAGTAACTGAAGTGACAGTCTCTATTTCCATTGTGCTCCTCGATCTCAAATGGAATTAAGAGTGTAAGCAAGTAGCAAGAGTATAAATACCTGTTCTACCAAAAACGTTTATATTAAAAAAACAAATTTGAGTCGAGAATTTATGGCTCTAGGCAATCTGACTAGAATTAAACCCAAGAAGATTAATGGTTCACTCCATACTTTTCCTTCCCTTCCAGGGCAGATAGAAAGAACTAGAGGTTCCAGGATGTTTGAGAGAAGCTTGCAGGGAGGACAGACTTGATCAAACAGTAAAGAAATACACTTCAAAGCCAGGCATGGTGGTGTACACCTGTAATCCCAGCACTCAAGGAGGCTGAGTGCGGAGGGCTGCAAATTTGAGCCCAGCCTGGGCTACTTAGCAATTTAGTCCCTGTCTTAAAAAAGGAGAGGGAGTTGGAGATACAGCACAATGCAAAGTTTTATCCTCAGTACTGTGAAGCAAAGCAAAGCAAAGCAGAACAGAATAGAACAACAAAGCAGCAAAACCAACTTGTACAGAAGAGTCAAAACCTTAAGAGGTATATTTGTGATCTAGAACTTTAAATAATTTTGTATATGGAATGACCAGAAACAGATTCCTCCTAAAATAAAAGTTTAATGAATTAGTTTGTATTACACATTAAAATAAAAAAGTCATAAAAAATTGATAACTAACTTCACACATGAAGGTACCTACCAAAGCTATGCAGAGCTGTCTTATAAAAGAAAAAAAATTTCACATCAGTAACTTAGAAATAAGAAATATAATTCATGAACCTCAGTTATATCTTACAAAGATCAGTGATAGTTACAGGTTCAGCTCACATGATCATTCTGCTAAAGGGAGAAGGGAAAGGGTGGAGGGTGAAACTGCTGATTTTTAATCTAATTGAAAGGTTTCATTTAAAGGTATTCTGGAAAGTTGATTGGACATGTACTGATAGGGCCCAATCTCGTATATGATTCGGTTGTATAAAGTTTCGTTTCTCTCTTTAAAAAATTTCCTCTTCCTTCCTTTCTTCTAGTTGGCTTGATATTTATCTAGAGATCTTTGACTCTGGCAGCCTCTATCCCAGGAACTAAAAAGATCATTGAAATGTCAAAAATTATAGAAGTAGATGGTGCACACAACAGCCATTCAAAGTCAGTTTTGATTTCGTCTTCGGATTCCTAACCTACTGAATGGAAGTCAATTAATTGGGAAAGACTGAGAACAAAAATCTCTAGGGTACAGCTGGAGACTGGATACTGGTCAAAGACAGAGCTTCCTCTTTTAAGCAAACCATGGTACATTAATGATCCAAAGATGGATTTTTTTGTAATGGATTTCAGTAAACCTCCCAAACTTAGATGTTTTCCAAGTTTTCTATGGAGTAGTAGGTAAAGTGGAGGAGACGACTTCCTGTAACACATTGATCTGTGGCTCCTGAAAAGTTCTCTCCCTCCATGTCCTCTCTCTCCACTGCCCTCTTCCTCACCAACGGTAGCACCCTTCCCTGGTTCCTTGTGTGATTAGTGGGCAGTACTGATGATTCCATGCTCAAAAAGCACGACAACCATGCCAGTTGTTAAATGTGTAACGGCAATCATCATTAACACAATAACTGTTTCTAGGTAAGTCAGTAACTTACAGTGGAAGGGAGAATAGCAATGGATGGATGTTACAAGAAGGCACATTAAAAGTTAACCAAAATAAATGCATAAGATTCTAATAAGATTACTGACATTTAGAAATGGGAGGAAAGGAGCTAAAGGTGTAGGGAAGGTGTGATACGTAGGGGAAGAACAAAAAGGGAAAAGAAAAAAATGTGAGAGAATGAAAAGATGAAAATAAAGTGTTTGTAGATGGGGAGGGGAGGAGGGGGTGAAGGGAGGGCAGAGGTAAGGGGAAAAAAATGAGAATCAAGACTTGCCATGTAAAGGTACATGATCCCAACAATGAATGTAACTGTACTGTATCCCTAAATGTACCAATAAACTCAATAAAAAAAAAAAAAAAGTTAACCAAAATAAATGCATTCTAAGCTTAAGCCACAAAATAACCTTTTTTATGAGATAGAATTAAAAGGATTCATTCATTTATGCAAATATTCTCTCATTCAACAATTATTGAGTACCCACATATGACAGACATCATTGAAGTACTGGGGGTACAGTGGTGAATAGCAATAACAAAACCCATAAAGATCTCTGCCCTTGTCCTCCTAGGAATGCTGGAGAACTCATAAGAAAAAGAGATAAAATGTACAGTGTGTTCCTTACAGAGAAGGTGGCGTTTGTGTGAAACCTAAGGGAGGGGTGGAGGGAGCCTTGTGATTTCAGGAAGACAATTTCAGGCACGGGGAACAACACATGCAAAGAAAGGCCTTGCTATAGGACTGTTCCTCGTGTGACTGAGAATGAGGTAGTCTGGGCATCTGGGGCAGAGAGAACGAGGGAGCAAAAAACAGAGAGGGTCCCAGTGGCAAAGATTGAAGCAGACTTGGGTGGCCTCATAGACTGAGTGACTTTGATCTCATCACCCAGAGCTGGGGAAGCTTTGTTTGTTTGTTTGTTTGTTTGGTACCGGGGATCGAACTCAGGTCCTTGTGCTTGTGGGGCAGGAGGCAGAACCACTGCGTTAAATCCTCGGCCCTGTTGGGGAATCTTGAGGAATATGATCACACTGGCTCTTCTAATGAGAAATGATTGATAGGGTCTAAGGTTGGAACCAGTAAAACTATGCAGGAGTCTCTTAAAATAAGGCTAGGGAAAGGACGATGGCTTGACCCACGATGGCCACAGTCATGGTAATGAGAGTGGGAAGATTCTGATGTATTTTGAAAGTAGAGCTGACAAGATGATGATGATGATGATGATGATGATGATGATGATGATGATGATGATGATGATTTTATTTGTTTTGGTAGTTAGATGGAAGATGCATAAGGAGGAGAGACCTGGATGATTCGAGCTTTGTCTGGGCAGTTGGAGGAGCAAAGTCCATCCACATTATGAGATGAGGGAGACTGTGGAAGGGGGTTTGTGGGAAATATCAGGAGCTCAGATTTGGAAGTGGTAAGTTTGAGACTCTAATCACATGCTCCACTATGCAGCTGGGTATATGAGATCAGACCTCCCTGGAGAGGTAGGAGGGAGTTAAACCTGCGAGTAATCAGGGTGCAGGGTAAAATCCTGGCACTGAATGAGTCAACCAGGAGTGAGTGTAGATAGACTAATCCTCCAGTTAAAGATGAGAGAGACGGGGAAAAATTATTAAAGGAGGCTGAGCACGAAGAGCCCCAGAGGGGCGAAGGAGAATCATGTAAGGTCAGCTAGGGGAAGCCAACAGGAGAAGGAGTTTTCAGAGGGGCCAGGAGTCCACTGTGAAAACTTGCCATTGAAAATTGACCGTGAATTTGGGGGACTGGGGTGAGCTTGATAGGGCAGGGCCTGTGACATGCTAACTGTGTAAACCTGAATGCAGTGTGCTCACAGACGAGATGGGGAGAGGAATTACAAGCAGCAAGGATATAACACAACTCTGTGAAGGCCTCTAAGGTTTGCTCCGATTCTCAGAGTAACTTGAGCCCTTCTGAGAAGGAGCTAGGATATAAGCCGGTTCTTTTTTGCATGCCCATTTTGAGACGAGGCTTTGAAGACTTTGTTCAACACAAATCCTACTGGGAAATAGATAATTCCCTATGGTTTTATTAAAGTTTTAATTCAAAGCACTTGAAGATTTTTTTCCCCCTGGGCTTCCAGATCTTCACTGAATTTTTATAAAATTTCATAGTTAACTAAGATCATGAGGCTTAAAGGCTATTACAAAATATATTAAACTTTTGATTAAATAGCACTGTATAAAAGCTAAAGTAAGTAAAAATGAGACTAAACTCTACTGGTTCAGGGATGACTGGTCAGGTTGAAAACAACAGAATCAGCATCTCTTAAGAACTCATTACATGGTGTGGTGGTGCATGCCTGTAATCCCAAGGTTCTGGTAGGCTGAGGCAGGAGGATCGCAAGTTTGAGCCCAGCTTAGTGACTTAGTCACTCAGTGTCTTAGTGAAATCCTATCCCCAAATTTAAAAAATTTTAAAAGGGCTGGGGCTACATCTCAGTGTGAAGGCCCTGGGTTTAGTACACTGTACTGGAAAAAGAGAAGAACTAATTATATGTGGTTTTATAAAAGAAAGAACTTGAAATTTTAAGAAAAATGATTTGTGTTTGAATCCAAACCTATTCCTTGCCAGCAATGAAAATTTAGACAATTTTAACTTTTTAATAATTCATTAGAAAATAGTTAACTTTTCTGTACCTTAGTTTCTGATGTGAAGATGTCTGATGGCAAACATTTCAGAGTGTTATTGCAAAGATCAGATACAACTTCACCTGGAACAATGCCTAATAATAAAGTCTATGAGGATACTACCGATTATAAAATACTTCCACCCACATGCTTCTTTTGGACTTCCCTTAGACCCCAGAGGAGGCAGGGCTGGGCGTGGCTGTCGCCACACTGAAAATGGGAAGCGGAGGCTCGGGATATTAAGGGCCTGCTCCACAGTCAGGGCCAATGCCTGCTGGAGCTGAGACTGCAACAAGCATTGGGTCTCTGATCTGGCCTCTGTCCACTCTCATGTTGTCCCCTGGGCACCACGTGGTGTTAGAGCATTGTTAGGCGCAGAGGCTCCTCTGCTGGGAGCCTTAGTTTCTAATCTAACTCATTCTACTCTTGACAGCATGAGCGAATGGGCCCGTGACAGTGTGGGTCACAGATACACGTGAAGCAGAAATTTCCCCTAAAGTCTCCCAGAGCCTCTTCCCCTTGACTGCTGATTTTCTCGTCTCCACCCTTGCATGCAAACACACACCGAAAAGAGTAACGCGTTTACTGCTCTGAGGTCAGGAACGTTTCTGCCCTCTGATACTCTTTAACACATTCTCGCTGGCTTGAACCACTGGCCTGGCCCCATTGCAAACGTGTTGAAGGACACCTGTGAGGGTGTCCCAGAATTGTACTGTCGTGGAGCCGGAAGGAACCATAGATGCCATTTGCCCGGGACTTACAGTTTACAGACCAGGAATCTTCATTCCGGGACCATAAAGAAGTCGGTCTCCACTGGTGTCCAGGACAGCGCTAGCACAGGGTAGCTTGAGCCCGGATGGCTCCCTCTCATTTATCACACTGCTACTCACCTCGTGGCTGGGCACAGTGTGATACCTAAAATCACAGTTCTGAAGGATTTCCTAATCAAGTGAAGGGATTTATCCTAACTCCCCTTATTACAGAATTAGAAAGTGCTTAAACCACTTAATAAAGAAACAGTAGCTCGAGTCACCTCTTGATAGGTCATCATGTTTTTTTCTCTTGCAGTGTAAGTGCTAACAGACAAAAGTGACTTTAAAACTGCTCATCAGAGGGCTGAAGTATCTGATAAGCAAAGACCACACATGCAAATGTAGAAACAGACCTCTTTATAAATGATGTCTGACAAGGAAAAGGATAGCTGCGGCATAGGAGCTCTGGAAAATGTAATTATTCATCCTTTCATAATTAACGAAAGAAATTGAAATTGAAGCTTTCACTTCAAACTCTTTTTATCTGGATGAAAATTTAGTTTTACATAATTAAATTGACTTCACAGTTCAGTGTGTTAAAATATGCAATTAATCGGCATATCAAGGTCCGGTGCCTACTGTTGTTGGTTCATTTAGAAATCATGCTGCCCAGCTCCTACATGAGAAGGAGCATCTGCCTGTCCGCTGTTGTTCCCATAACCAGGGGAGCACACAACCTGCAGGGCTGGTCCTTCCAATTCAGAACAAGCAGCTGAGTGTTTTTTTTTTTTTTTTTTTTTTTTTTTTTTTTTTTTTTTTTTTTGCATGTGCTGACTCCTGTATGAAATGAACTGGATTTAAACAGTTTTCACTTTGCTTTGTTTTTAAGTGGGGCTTTTTTGGCGGGGGGAGCAAAAATAATTTAGTACTTTGATGGCATGCCACAGATGACTAACTCAAACTTTTATAGAGGTTTCCTTTCTAAATAACACTTGCATCTTCAACCTTGTTACTTTCTATTTGAAATGATGCTAAAGTTTCTTTATTTTAATTTTTTTCCATTTTACAATTTATGATAAATTTCAGCTGAGACTTCTTTCAAATGATCTTTGCACTTTTGGACATGGAGATGGTCACAAAACACTGGGGGAAACATCAAAGGGGTGTCACAGACATGGAACGGAGGTGAGTCCACTGAAATGTCTGAAGAAGTGGAGATTTTTACTTGAGTACTTCCTCCTTGTTTTCTCTTTGAAAAGCACCTTTGTGATGATTAATTTATGGCTTAATGGAATCTTATATTCTCTTTCATCTTAAGGCTGTGAGTGGAGCATAGTTTAACACTTGGAACTGAGTGCTCTTCCCTCCTTGATATCTTCCGGAATTAATGTAATGGTGATTTGTCTGACATTTTGAGCTAGAACCAGATTTGTCTACTTCTTTGTATTGCTCAGAAACCCAAATGAGGTCCTGACTACCAAGGAACATCTTGGTAGTTTTATCAGAAAAATATCCATAGAGAAAAGAATATCTTAATAAGTGAAAAGCTATATTAATTAAATTAATTAAAACCATAAAAGTTTCCACTTTTATATAATCAATTTCATAATTACAAATTATTCTAATCTTTTAGTTAAACCCAATCTCTCTTTTCTTAGGATACTGGTAAGACTTAGTTTTTGTTATTGGAAATACTTTAAAGCCATTAAAAGAATATTTAGTAAAATTTTGTTCACACATACACCATGCAAAATCACCAATCCAATGATGAATGTAACTGTATTGCATACCTAAAATGTGCCAATAAACTCAGTTAAAAAAAAAGAAACAAAATCAGTGATGGTCTTTTTTCAAGTAATCTGACTTCAGAAGTTTTGACACTGAACAAATTTTGAAACATTTGTAGTAATCAGTGAACAAAAAAATAATACCAAACAATGGAGGCTAATTTGTACAACAACAGAAAACCCTTTATCATTTCTTAAAAGCCATGCAGGTTCGATTAAACTTTCTACAAGGCTTAAACTGATAATGTGAAATAGGAAGAAAAGGGCTAACAGTGTAGGGGAAGTGGGAAGGGCAGGGGAAAGGAAATGAGGGAAAAGAAAAAAATATGAGCAAAGGAAAAAAATGGAAATAAAGTCTTTGTAAATAGGGAAGGGTGGAGGGGGTGAAGGGAGGGCAGGGGAATGGGGAAAAATGAGAACCAAGACCTGTCATGTAAAGGTACAAGATCCCAATGATGAATGTAACTGTTCTGTATACTTAAAAAGTACCAATAAACTCAATGAGGGGAAAAAAACCCCCAGCTTTCTACAAGGTTTAAAACTCCTAGTCTGATTTTATACAGAGCTCTGCAGAGCAGAGCTGTTCACATCTTTTTAGAGTCTCACATTAAAGTCTTTGAATTGAGAAATAAAACTGCTGTGTGATTGACAGGTTTCACCAGAGTAGCCTCATGCTCTCTGCCACTTTGTTGGGTCTACCTGATTGGATACAGATGAAATAATACTGGCTTTAGTCCAGAAACAACAGTGACACATGCAAGAAGATGATGAGCACAGAAAAACCATACACATAATCCCTAACCATTATGTTAGCATCTTAACTTTCCCATAAAAACTTCTATCAAGATGTTTAATGAAAGTCATCCTAGATGGAAAGGATCAGACATCAACATTCAACAGAATCATCCAGGAGAAAAAAGGCCGTTTTGAAAACTGTTGAATATTATTCTGTGATGCTGGCCAGACCTTCCCAAAGCATGAGAGAATTGGCATTTATAACCCTCAGTAAAAAATTTCCTGGTTTTGTTTTTGTCTTCTTTTTTTCTGAATTCTTTTTTTTTCTATTTGTGATCAAATGGTGGTTGGGAAGTTAAGGGTTCTTAAAATAACTTTGAACTTTACAGGGCACGGATAGCATTCTGGTCTACTATGAGGTCGTGGTGGGAGTCAAGCAAGTGCAGAACAAAGTGGCCTTTTGTTTATTCTTTCAGGAAAGGTAGCTCGTTCTAATTTTGATCTATCTTTACCTTTAAACTTAAAGCAAACCAGAAAGAGGATGGTGTACACTCAACAAGCCCCAAAGAGAACAGGGAAGAGCATCAGATTAAGGAGTCACACAAGTCAAAGGACTGAATCTGCAACATAAGTAAAAGTGTAATTGTTTTTATATTATCTTTTTATCCTAGAAACTCTGGGAGGGGGGTAGTTTTGTTTTTAGAAAGTTAAAGCACCATTCCAAGTGAGTTATTTTTGTGTTTAGAATAGTTTTGATAGGACTAGGTAACACGTGTTCTCTCTTATAAGTCAGGGAGCTAAGGAGTTTTGGGTGAGTGCTTTTGTAGGCTGCTCCATTTTATTTATTTAGAGTTCAGAGTTTAGAGTGATGGTCCATATGTGAAGCTCGCTATGTCATTATTACATGTGACATTCAGGCTTCTACTGGAGGCCTGTTACAACAGTGAAATGGTTTTGAAATTTGCAATTTCTTTTTCTTTTTTTCTTTTTTCCTGTTACTGGGGATCGAACTTGGGACCTTGCGCTTGCAAGGCAGGTAGCACCACTCAGCTAAATACCCAGCCCAAAATGAGCAATTTCTTGAAAAACAAAACAAACAAACAAACAAACAAAAAACCAAAAGAAATTTCACAATTCAAGAATGAGTTTAGTTCCAATTAGAATACAATTTAGAAGAAAGAGCCACTCAATGAGGGTATTAGTGTAAGTCTAAAGTGTCCCCCCAGCACCAGCAACTGAGCATAGGGCCTCACACGTGAACTTTGCCACTGGGCTACATCCCCAGTCCTTTTGTGTATTTTATTTTGAGACTGGGTTCACTAAGTTGCTTAGGTTGACCTTGAATTTGCTATCTTTCTGTCTCAGCCTCCTGAAAATTCCAAAGTATTAAAGTTAAAGATAACACAAAGATGAAGCAGTTCTAAAAATTGATGTCTGTAACACAGTCTTGACATTAAAATTCTACCCTAAGAAATGAAATCGGGAAAGGAAACTAAAAGATGTCACTTGAATAATGACTCCGTACTTCTTATATGCCCATTATATTTATGTGTCATTCAATGTCCTTGTCTTCTCTCCTACTTTTGTTGTGTTTCAGTAGGCAGTACTGAAAAGGTATCTGGGGAACCAAGATCTGTCACATAAAGGCATGAGATCCCAAAGAATGTAACTGTATCACATACCTAAAAAGTACCAATAAACGAAATGAAAAAAAAAAATCTGGGGACTTCTGATTACCCCGGTAATGCATTTAAAATTCAACTAATTAGACAACCACTGCAGACTCTTAACTATCTGTGGCCAGGATCACTGCCTCTTGCTGAGGAGAGTTTGAATTTAAATAAAGTGATTGTGACGATTTTAGAGATTTCCCAGGCATTTTTTTTTTCATCCTAGAAAATAGCTGAATACATGGAAGGAAAACATTTTCCATTCTAAGAAACAGACCTCCCTAAAATGTTGCATCACAGCCTTTAACTGCCCATGACAACCGTGAAATCAGAAAAAGAGGGAAGAAGAAACTAGAACAAAGTGCATTTCAAATAACAATAATGGACTTAAGGAGCCACAGAAAGGTACGCGCCACCGAGCGATAAACAGGCACCACACAACACTTCAACCGTACATACCTCTTGAGTTGAGTCTGGGGGAGGGTCTGGGGATTAAGAGACAGTATTCCAAGACACATAAAATGGAACCACAGCAAGGCATTAGCACTTGATGAGGAAGAAGGAGAGCAGCGCCACTTCCACGCTCCGGGCATCTACCCAGAGTTCCCCAAAGCAATCTTACCTTTGTTTTCTGCCTTCAGTTCCTCTGCCATCAAGCTGTCTTGTCGGTTACCAAGCACGAACGCTAGAAACGACAGGATCAGGGCATCCAAAATTCCAATAATAGCCAGGATGTAGGCCCAGCGCACTGAACATGCCCCGAGAGTGTACTTGTCTGTCTTTTCTCCGCACATCCGTTTTACTTCATCTGAATCCCAGCCATCGGGGAAAATCATGCAACCAAGCACAAGGCAGGCAGCTTGGGGAGAGAGGAAAAAAGAAAGAAAAAATGAAGTTAAGAGATTTTATTTTAGCAAGTATTTCTATTGTTTGTCAATCATTGTTTCAATTTTTTTTTCCTCGATTTAGAGTGCGGTAGATCTCACCACTGTTTTACTCCCAGTGTGTGTGAATGTGAGTGTTTTCCTGGTTAACTTCAAAGCAGCCCAGCACTCATACTAAAAAGATCCTGGGAATGCACTTTAGAGTAAACACCCATCCTGAGGTATATGTATTTGGTACCAGGGATTGAACTCAGGATCTTGTGCTTGCCAGGCAGGCAACGGAACCACTGAGCTATATCCCCAGCCCTAGGAGAAAATATTGAGAAATTGAATTTTTGTGTGCATTTGTGGGAAGTCTTCCATTGCAAATGGGGCCATAAGGAATCATAACACTGCAGAACGACAATTCCAGGCTGGCTTTGAAGATGTATTTGGTACCAGGGATTGAACTCAGGATCTTGTGCTTGCCAGGCAGGCAACGGAACCACTGAGCTATATCCCCAGCCCTAGGAGAAAATATTGAGAAATTGAATTTTTGTGTGCATTTGTGGGAAGTCTTCCATTGCAAATGGGGCCATAAGGAATCATAACACTGCAGAACGACAATTCCAGGCTGGCTTTGAAGAGCTGTGACAGCAGCCAGATAAGGCACTAGGATAACAAGGAAAAAACCAGGGTGTATACTGACTTTGAATCACTGAATTTTACATTGTGATCACCCCTGCCCCTGACACGCAGAAAAGTTTTTTGAAGCCATCTTTGCCCTGAGCAACGCATGCTGATTATTTTCTACTCTACTCACCATTCTGTTTCATTTTGTAAAAGGCTGAAAAACACTGCAACACAGAGCAGCCTCGCAAGGCTTTTATAGAAATTAAGAAATTCAGAAGAATACTTACATTCTATTTCCCAAATATCACTGTGGAGTCATATGGGTGCTTTGAATGGGAATGTGGTACTTTGGCAAAGTGGCTACTGTTGTCACTTTTTAGATATCTAATCGAATTATGTAGTGGTATATAATCGTCTTTTAAAGTTAAGTAGAGATTTCTGGATAGGTGGACTCCTTCATCCATTCTCTCATTCATCTAAAAACGATTTCTTGAGCCTCTCCTATGGCATGCCAGCAGCTGTTCTTGGTCTAAAGATACAGTGATCATGAGAAGAGACATGGTTTATGTCATCATAAAGCTTATGTTTCATCAGGAAAAGAAGCAAAAAAAAAAAGCATGCAAATGAAGGTTGTAAGTTTTAATCGTCTTTTAAAGTTAAGTAGAGATTTCTGGATAGGTGGACTCCTTCATCCATTCTCTCATTCATCTAAAAACGATTTCTTGAGCCTCTCCTATGGCATGCCAGCAGCTGTTCTTGGTCTAAAGATACAGTGATCATGAGAAGAGACATGGTTTATGTCATCATAAAGCTTATGTTTCATCAGGAAAAGAAGCAAAAAAAAAAAGCATGCAAATGAAGTGGTTGTAAGTTGTAATGAATGCTAAGCAGGAGCATCTAGGGGCTCAATTGGAAATAAGAGTTGAGGCCTTCTTTAGAAAAGGTTGTCAGGGAAGGGATCTGGAGGGGATATCATTTAAGCTGAGGCCCAAAACAGGCAAAGACTCAGATGTATGAAACGGGAGGGAAAGCTATTACATGGAGCAGCAAGGGCAAAGGTCCTGAGGTTGCGAAAAGTCTTGCCATATATGAGGAGCTGTATGGAGATTGGTTGCTGGGTTGGAGGAAGAGATTACATTTATGATGAGAGGCAAGTAAAATGATGGAGCATGGCTGGGTGTTATTTCCAGGTTGTGTAGCTTAGGAAGACTATGATGCCACGAGCAAGTTAAGAGTTCTGTGACAACTAGGGCCAGCTAGTTCCTGAAGCTGGAAAGAGGGGTAACCCTAGGATGGTTGCTTCACTGCAACTTACTAAAGATGGAAATGGATACTTTCTTTCCTTTTTCAAAACAGGCACATGGATCAACAGGACAGCTTTGAAGGAGACCTGGACCAAGAGGGCTGGCAGGCAGAAAGACGGCCCAGAAGAACCCTGCTTTGGTGTCCCACACCGTCTTCCAGGAGAACGATCTAAAACTCTGGGTCCCACGTGATGCCTCTTTCCTCTGTCCCATTTTCCTTTCTCAAATGTTGCATGCTCTTCTCACCTGCCTGGGCAGCATCTCTGCCTGGACAGGTCTCCTCGTTACTTCTCTACTTGAAGTCTCCAGTGTCTGTCAAAGTGAGTCCTAACTTCTCTTCCTCTCCACACCCCTCTTTAGTTCAGATTACACATGACTGATGAGACCTTCTTGCTCAAAACTTTTTGTTGGCCACCCATTGGGTGCTGAAGAATAGCCAGGGCTCTCAGGCATTCAGAAGCTCCATCATCCAGCCCTCTCCTCTTTATATTCTCCACTCCACTGGGTTGAACTGCACACGACTCCAAGTTTTTCCATGTCTCTGTTTTGCTCTTCTGCTGGAGTATTTGCCATGGTTGTCCCTAAAAGCTCTACTCTTACATATCCTTTGACACCCAAGCCAAATGCAACATCCTCCACAAAGCAAAACTTCTCAAATTCTTTTTGACCTACAATATTGCATGTCCCTGAACTCTCACAGCTGTTGGCAATCCCTAGCTTAGGGTCTTTGCTGTTTTTATGTCATTATAGCTATTTATCCACCATGTCATCTCAATGAACAGATTGCAAGCTTTCTGAGGAAAGAGTCATCAAGCACCTAAAACAGTGCCTTGCACTAAGTAGACACTAAAATACATTTAAATGGGGAGGTGAGTGAATGGATAAATAAACAGTAACACCTAGAGATATATTAAAATACACTTTATAGACATCAACACCACAATTACCCAATATCGCAAATCTGGTTAAAGATGGATTCATGCATAGGTGATATTTAATGGAGACAACTGATTATAAAAACTTGAGAGCATAATTTAAATAAGTGAATTTGGTGATTTGGAAATATTTTCAGGGCCTTATTCCCTCTGTACTTCTCAGAACTCAGTACCCAACATACTATAAAGCATTATCTGATTAAAATGCTCCATGTATTTTATTTTATTGTTTTGGTACTGGGAATCGAACTCAGGTCCTTGTGATTGCAAGGCAGGCAGTGGAACCACTGAGCTAAATCTTCTGTCCTGATCTACGTATTTTAAAAATGTGGTTTCGATGAGCAAAATTCATTTTATTTGGGATAGTAGAGAATACCTTTGAATCAAAATTATACTTTGGACAAATGCTTCTAAATTATTTGGGAGATTAAAAAATATTCTATGCTGGGCATGGTCGTGCACACCCACAATCCTAGCACTCTGAAAGACTAAGGCAGGAGATTCACACGTTTGAGCCCAGTCTAAATAACTAGTGACTCAGGAAGACACTGTCAAAAACCCCTACAAAAACGAAAAGCAACAACAAAAAAACAAAAAACCTAAAGCAAAACAAAACAACAAAATAAGCAACCAAAACAAGGCTGAGGTTATAATGAAAGCCTTGAGTTCAATCCCCAGTACTGAGAAAAAAATAAATTCTAAATACTTCTTTAAAAATTAAATATCTTTTATCAGCAAGAAAGATACTTTATTATAAAGAATCAAAAGGAAATCTTTTATTTTATGAATGGTAATCACTTGAAGTACATATTACAGCTTAGTTAAACTTCATAGAAATCACCAAGTGACACAAATTCAGGCAGGTTACTGGGCTTATGTGACAACCTCACTGGGACAGGGTGCTTGTGGAATGCGGACAGCAATAAAGACATATTTCTCACGGTCTTTCTGTCTTGAGTGTGCACTGATTTCTTTTAAAGTTTCCATTTGGGGAAACTGTGAGCCGTAAACTGGAATGAAAGTAGCAGAGTTAGAATTAATACTCTGAAACTAAATGCACAGGAGAATAGGAATGGCAAACGATTGTTCTCCACTCTCAAAGTACCATAAATGACTTCCTAAATGGAATTATAAGTGAACAATATGAGGAGATGGAGGAAGTAATATACAACTGTACTTTATACAATTAATATTTTGCTGAAAGCTATGAAAACAAAGTTTTTGAAACACAATGTTTATTTTCAGCAATCCAAGGGAGCTGGCTATTTAGAGGACAAAATTTTCTCTTTCAGCACTAAGGACACAACTCAGGGAGCTCTGAACTACATCCTCAGCCCCCTTGCTCCCTTTTAATTTTTAATTTTGAGACAGGTTCTGGCTAAACTGCCCAGGATGGCCTTGGACTTGTGATCCTCCTGTTCAGTAGCTGAGATTGCAGGGGTGCACCGCCATACCCAGCTTATTTAGAGAAAACCCAATTAACATTTGGGCTTCTGGAGAAAAAATGCAAGGCACACCTAGCAAGAGTATCCCAGGTCTCTGAGTGATAGGACACTGTTTGATGTTTAGGTTTGCCACCTGTTTTTTTATCAATGTTCCTTAATGCGAAGGAGCTGATCCTTTTTGTAATTATCTGTTTGGACAATCTAAATGATATATAGTTGGAGGAACACCCCCCTAATTTTAAAGGTTTAAAAACTTTAGATAGCTGTTACATAACAGGAAATTAAAAATATTTTAACAGTGTATTATCAAAACATATATTCCCCCCTCCCCTATATAAATTCCTTCTACTTGACTGTTTTATTTTGGCAAAGTAAAGTCCCCCAGACTTTAGTATGTTTACTTTAAGCTATTTAGATAGTTTAGGCAATGTTGGTTTCTGAGGGATGGCATGACTATTATGTTCTGCACTAATGCTTGATTGCTATAATAAATTCTGTTTTCTGCCATTCTACAAACCAGATCCTTCTCCACCTGCATGGTTTATACAGCCGCTGAAAACTAACAGCTGTTTCCAATCCTAAGAAGTACCTGAAAGTCTCAGACTCAGACAATGAAAGATTAAATAATAGCCCTCTCTGGCTTTATAGTTATAGCTAATTCTTTCCAAATCGATCAACCCTAAGACGTGGCACTACATCTTACATCTACATCAACACAGTAAACTTTAGAGTACACAAGGCACCAGAACATTTGATTTATTCACACATGCTATTTCCTGACCACAAGAGAGAGGGGAGAATTAGTTTCAATTGGGCTATTACCCAAAAGTGGGTTCCTAATTAGAATGTCAGCTAGGAAATGACTAACTTCCTTGAAGCTACGTATTCCTTCATTTTGGCAGTAGGTTTTCTGGAAGTGTATTAGAGGACACTCTTCAATGCTAAGGAGAAATGGGAGCTCATAACAGGGAGGTGAATGGTGAAAAGAAACCCAGGGCCTATTGGATGCCACCATGATGCTATGACACCTTCTAAGCTAGAATATGTAACAAAGGCGTCCTTATGAAGGTGTCACTGTTGATTGCCACTGTAAGAGTGTTCCAAGTGGTTAAGAAGTGTTCCCACTTAAAAAGGAAGCCCTGTGCAGTGCCTGTGGATCCCACAATGGGTTCTTCTGAAATTGTACACAAATGGCTAACGGTTCCCCAGGCCCACTAATTGCACCAGCATTTTTCTTGCTAAAGATCCGAATGTAATCTCTGTGGAAAATTCTACAAACCTTTGTAATTAGGTCTTTCTCTCAGGGAAAATGAAGCAAGATGAAAAGAGCAATAGGGGGTCTTTGACTTGAGTTACTCGGGCCTGCCAGTATTGCTGGTCCAACTATCCCAATCAGGGCTTTTAAAGTTTTGAACCTGAGAACTTATTCTGTGACCAGGAAGAGAAAGTTTAAATTCATTCTTTAAAAAGCCTATGCACGGTTGCACAAAAAGCATGATAAACTGCCTCATGTTGAAGAAGCACTCAAGGGGAACTTGGTAAAAAGAAGGAACCTGCATTCACTTAACTCCATCAATTATTCAGACATACAGTAGTCGAAGAAATTGATGCCAGCAGAGGCTGCCAAGCTATGGAGGGGGAACTTTCACATGAGGACTGTCACTATAAACGCCTGTTAAAAGAGATAGCTGCCTTATTGCTAGAGCTCCCTCATCAACTCATGGATGACTAACTTTTGCTATAGCATTTATGCCTCTGGAAAAGGTATACTATTTACACCTCAGTTAACTCTTGGGAAGCAGAGTCACTACATAACTCAGGACCTCAAATACTGGGTTTTAAGAGTGTGGTGAAGACAATAGTGTGCTCTAGAAAATTTTGGGTTTAAACACAATATAATTTTGTGGGTATTCAACTTGGGGTCATAACACACACAAAAAATAACATCCCTTAGAATAGTGGGGGTTGAGAGAACATATAAATAAACACTGCACTGTCCAAGGAGAAGAGTTAGAAGTTTGTATCTGATGATAGGAAAAGCCTCTGTACCCGCCAAGCTACCCAGCCCTCATGTGCCTGAATACAGGGTACCTACAAACATTTGTACATTGCACTGAATTAGCTGTGTGTAATGTTTTTTCCCCCATTAAGTTTATTGGTATATTTAAAGCAAACAATACAATTACATTTATCAATGGGATCTTGTACCTTTACATGATGTGTCTTGGTTCTTATTGTTCCCCCACACCCCTGCCCTCCCTTCACCCCCTTCACCCTTCCCTATTTACAAAGACTTTGTTTCCATTTTTCCTTTTGTGTAATGTTTTTATGAGCCCGTTTTACTGTTGGATGGCACCTGGCAGCAGCTTTCACCATAGTTTTAATTTTACCTCCTAAAGACAGGAAAGAGGACTTCCAGAACTGTTTCATTCAGTGGCAAGAGTGATGAGAGAGGTGTGTTTGAAGGGAGATGGAGTATTCTCAGCATGATTAATGGCAATGTATCTTTTATTTAGGTAAATTAAAAAAAAATCAAAACATTCCCATTATTTTGATCATCCCTTGTATAGTTAGTGGAGGATTTTTTTATAGATATGATACTAAACAAGAGGGAAAATTCTTAATTGTATAATATCAGTTGCTAATTTGGCCAAATTGTGAGAGTTAATAAAATAAAATTCAGAATTAAAAATTTTAAAAACTAAATGCTGTTCACATCTGCATTGCTGATGACTTTTGATATCATAGATCCAAATTCCTTGCAGTCCTGGTAGTGGTATAGTTAACAATAGCACACAGCATTAAAATAGAGATAGCTATCGAATTCTTCCCATGTGT